CTATTATTATTGGTACTATCTTTGCTTTCTTTTGCCACAGTTGTTCTATTTCTATTTGCAGGTCTTTGTATTTTGTGATGTTCTCCAGTTCTTTCTTTTCTATTCTGCTGACTCCAGGTATTGCAATGTCCATTATCCAGACTTTTTTGTATTTTTTAACAATTGTTAAGTCTGGGGTGTTGTGTGGCAAGTGCTTGTCTGTCTGAATTCTAAAGTCCCAGAGCACTTTAGCTTCTTGATTTGCTATTACTTTGTTTTGTGGTCCCACCAGTTCTTGCTTGCAGGCAAATGGTATTTCTTGCAGATATCCCAGTGCACCGTTGTTGCTACTCTGTCATGCCGTTGTTTGTAGTCAGTCTGTGATTTTCTTGCAGCAGCTAACTAGGTGGTCCACTGTTTCTTCAGCTTCTTTGCAGAGGCAGCATTTGCTGTCTGTTGCTATCTTCTCAATTCTGGCTTTGTATTTGAAGGCTTGGTCTTGTGCAGCCAGAATAATAATAATAGTAACAACAACAACAATAACAATAACAATTATTATTATTATTATTTTAAAGGTTTAAGTTATCTAAACATTGGAGCATTAATCATCTCTAGTTAATACTGTATAAATACCACTGTATCCAAATAATATAATATTCTACTTATGTTTTGTAATGATACAATAAAACAATTTTTTTAAAAGGAAAAAAAATAAAAAATTAACTCAAGAATATTTTAAGTTTTCTTCCACAGGGCCAGGGCCAGGGCCAGCTCAAGCGTACATAGTGCTCCTAGGACATATTGACTGATGGTGCCCAACTTGCCTGTGAAGATTTGCATTTTAGAATTATTTGGAAGGAGGGGCAGCATTGGTACCCCCTAAGCTTTGGCACTCTAGGCCAGTGCCTACTCAGCCTTAGCCTAAAGCCAGCCCTACACCGGGCACTTGAGGTATATATTGGTAAATTTTGACTGTAGTTTGGATGGCCACTAAAAGAGCCTTTTCCCCCTGTTTTATTTTGTTGCCATCTAGTGATTGTCCTGATTTTTGCAGCCCATATATAGTATGGTAATTGTTGGTAGTAATAGTTCTGTGTGTGGAAGGTATAGGAGTGTTCCTTGCCTTCCTCCTCTCTCTTCAGGGATCCTTCCCACAGGATAGTTGGTGGCAATAGTCCTATGGGGGATGAAGGGTCATGAGATCAGATATCAATAGGAGAAAATGGCAACGATAGATGAATCAACTGGGTTGGTTTTAGAACCTAAGCTTGTGAATCCTGGGTGAATAT